CTATGATATCAAATATTGAATTGTTTCTATGTATATCTTAAATATACATGTTTAGATATGCTGATGGACAAGCTAAATATATGTGTTAGTCATAAGGAATTATTAATTTAAAAGTTAGATAATGAAACAACTAGAAACATGAGTAAAGTGTCTACTGGAAATACTACAAGTATTCTCATGCATAAAAGAGTAGTAGTTATGATTACAACTTTTGTGACACAATGGACAAATCAGGACAGTTTTGCAACTTTTAGTAGGTTTGGTTAATCCTGTTTTTCAGGCTGTTGAAATTGATGTGCACTATTTCAAAGAAAAATTTCAAATGTGCTCAAAGACCGCCACCCCCCCCCCCCGTGTGTGGTGTGCACACAATAAAATGTTGGTGCACATATGTGGATTTGTGCATCCCAATGTTCACACAGTGGTCAGAGGAGGACACTGGGCATACTACTGTGTCATTTCCATCTTACTCACCTGAGACAGGGTCTTGAACTGAAGCTGGATCTAGGCTGATGGCCACAGTCCTCCTGTGTCTACCCCCACAGGGCTGGATTTATAGACATTTATAGTCCACATGTGACTTACATGTGGGTTTTGGAAATTTGAGCACAAGTCCTCAGCTTGTGCAGCAAGTCTTCTTATCAGCCCAACTGTCTCTACAGTACCAAAAAAGAATCACAATTTGCAGTAAGTTTTAAATAACATTGGGCCCAAATCAGCAATTGCATTTTCAATTGCCTCTAGTGTATCCCTATTCCTTGGACTTGTTTTAAGTTTAAAAAAATGATCAATAATATAGAAATAGGCACTTTTAGGGAAATATGTGTTTATGATTACTATATTCTATTTGCTATTTTTATATATTACTATGCTTACTGTATTCAAGACATGGTAATTGTCTCACTAAATAATATTGGTTATCAGAAAAGAACATCTTCAGATGTTTTTCCATTATTCATCAGTGTGTATCACATATATAATATATATTGAATGAACCTTCATAGAGA